AAACTTCATATGCATCACACACTATGCATAAAATATTCTGTCAAAACTACAATTTTTCTTCTCCTTTTTTGGACTGAAAGTGTAGACAGCTCAAGAACAGCTCCTGCACGTGGATTTACTCCTTTACTGTTAATTCACCTGCAGGTAAAACTGCTTTTGACGTCACCTATCAGCCAAGAAATTCTGTGGTCACAGTTTCCAGGATCTTCCTGTAGTTCACTGTTTATCAAAAGTGGATCTGCAGTGACAGCTTTTAAAAACAGCTTTGGTTCGGGAAAGGAAATATAACTTGACTAGTTCATACTGACTAAATCCACAAACTATGATGGATTGTAAGAAAAAACACTTATAAAGAAAGGGTCAGGGCAAACCAAGTATCAGCCTCATAATTCCCCTCAGCTGACTAAATTCAGATAAAATCAAGTCTAGATTTTAACTTGGAAGTACAGAAAGGCTAAAATAACATTTTTTTAACTGTATCTAAGAACAATGAGTTGGTCCATTCTGATACTCCACAGGAAATGCACCAGGGCCTTCTGGAAACAAAGTTTATTGCTACTATATTTATGATTACATGGAAGATACTCTATGTCACAGAAAATGCAACAATATATAAAGATATAACTCCAACTGGGACTCACAAAACAGCCTCCAAGTCACAGAAAAAGGCAGGGAATGAAAGAGATCTTGAACTATGAGTGGTATAAATAATCCTTTAGATCTTGAGTAGCAAAACCCAAAAGCAATCCAGAACTTTAAGGTTCTAGATATGTTTAAGTTCTGATCTTTGAGACCAGAGAGAAACACCAGCACCTACACAAATAAAGGCCATAATGGAACAAGTAAGTGACATTAATCATGACGGGTTCTGGATATAACATTCCAAGACAGCTAAACCATGAAGTTACAATGATTATATGGGAGAATTCCCACTTTGCAAACACTCATTCTCTGCAAATCCAGATTTTCAGATAGAATTAAAAGAGAAGCTGAAAAACATGAACCTGATGAAACAAAATACAACAGGGTTTAAACATTTTTTTGACTTGGAGTAATTCATCATTTTGCCCCAAAATACTACTAATGAGGTGAAGAGTTCAGCTGATCTGAAATCATATACCTGCCTCATTTGCTGAGCAGCACTTGAACTTGTCATGAACTTGTGTGTTCACTCTGTAACACTGACAAACAGGACAGGAATCAGTCTGTTCTGCAGCTGATTTATATTCACATTTGTTAGACATGTTCCCTGAAACGTGAACACATTTTAATCCCTTCAGGAGAGCATTTGCTCCTCCAGGCAGCCCCGGGCTGTGCCCAGGAAGCCCAGCAGAGGTTTCACTGGAGCTCTGTGCCCCACAGCCAGGGAATGCTCTGGGCTGTCTGCAGCTCCCACAGGACAAGAGCCCTCTGATATGCTGAGGACATAAAAGGGAATTACCCAAATGTCCTTTCCCAGCAGCACGAGGTACAAGCAAGTAAAGCATATTTTACATTTAACATCATCCCTTCTCGTTCATAGGTGCCCTTTTCCTCAACACCTTTGTGACTGTATTTTCATTTTCAGTTTTACCCAAAAGCAGTCACTCAACATGCACAGAATTTTTAAGTCCTGGCCAACAGTTTGTCCAGGTAATCCATCTGCGTGAAACATTAATTTCTATATTTTTTTTATTGCTGAAAGTTATGAACAATAGGATTTTTCAGAGAGGGTTGATGCATCTTTGTACCAAGAGAGTATCTTAAATTTTGCAGTAACCTTTGCAATCCTAAACAGGTGAAGCTGCTGATTTAAAAACTACACAGACCAACATCTTCCTCGAGCCTGAAGGGAAAAAGGAGGTCTGTCAAGACAGTCTGGGAGGGGCAACACCACGGGTGGTTTAGATGTAGAGCTGGGCAAGGACATGGGAATATCTCTTAGGATACTGGGAAGAAACACAGCTCCAAGGTAAGACTGAGCCCTCTGTCTCACAGCTCCCTGAGCAGAGCCCCAGCAGGCCCAGGCTGTGATTGAACAGAGGGTGGGAGAGCACTGAAGGAGCACGGAAGCGAAAGGGAACCTCAGAGAGGTTCATTACTAGAGGGAGAATCACTGAAGGAGAGAGACACTGAAATGGAAGATACATTCAGCACTGTCCTGGCTATTTGCATGATTCGGAAGTATCACAAAGTAAATATTTACAGACAGCAGTCCTGCATAGGTCAGAATTTTTATCTAGACCAGTTGCACTGGAGAGGGAGGGTACCATGTTCAGTTAATAGCCCAGAATTGAAACACTGAATCAGATTTGACTAAAGAACATAAATGACTTGAAGAGTTCAAGCCTGGCATCCAGGAAACGTTTGTTTGCATTATGAAACCACTGTCTGGTTACAGGTCTGTTCTTGAGATTGTTCTGTGCTGCACTGCACCTGCACAAGGAATAGACCCCTTCCAGCTCCAACAATTGTTAAAATCTTCAATGTAAGCCACTACACACACCAGAACTCTAAATAGTATTTTCAATCAGCCAAGAAAACCTTAATTTAAATCATTTTGTATGCTAAAAGCCATAGAGGAATAAAATATTTCACCAGAACTTCTGCAGAGAGCTTTGAAAGAGCATAAATTTCTTATTTATAAGAAATATTGTTCTCTACTACAGAAGATTTTTTTTCAGTTGCTTTCATGCATTTAACAGCAGCTGAAGCAGAGGCAGCTTCCCTTCCCTGAGAGCATCTCTCATTCATGCTACAACTGAGAAATGAAACAATTCAGAAGATGAAGCCAGAGGAGCACAAGGACTGTGGAAAGGAGCTTTAGGGTCTGTCCCTACTTCTACCACAGTTTTTGACAGAGTTTTGTAGATCCTTTTAGATCACAATGGAAAACAGGTCTGCCCTGAAAGAGCAACTAAAACGAGTGGTTGTAGGAGACAAAGCATATTCAAAACAAAACAGCAGCAGCATAATGTAGCAAAATGAATATATTCTGATTCTGTGCATGTAATTTCAACCTGGAAAGTTACTTTTAATTGATGGGTGCAATGATTAAGAAGCTAGACAGAAGCTAAAGTGGAAGCAAACACTTGTAACATCCTCTCCACATGCTAAAAACACACATTATAACTCCTAGAAAGAAGATTCCAAAACACTGTTCTTTCCCATATTTCAGCAACAAGTTTAGGTATTTTAGTGACCAACATTAAACAGTATATTCCAAACAAATCACCCTGCACATAAATCACAAAAGACCTCTCTTTCTTCAGCAGCCCATACCACATTACAAAGAAAAGCAATGTAAAGAAAAAATTAACCACGCTTTCACAAAAAAGAGTCACTGCAGTTGGCTTCTTTCCCCTGAACTTTTGAATCCCTGGGCTAAGCACGAAGCTCTTTCATCCCCCAACAAAAGACACCACATTTCAGCAAACTAGAAATCCACTTCAAATATTCCAGACTTCCTTTCCAAATGTCAAGGTTGTTTAGTTAATCTGGAATAACAACATTCTGCAGAATAAAATTCCAGTGCAAAACTGCAACAGAGCTGCACGGTCCTTGTGTGCAGTGACATAACTGTGTCCACTTCTTCAGGCACTTACACTGTGCCATCCCACTTACCACCACCAGCTTTTGTTACAACTGCTCTGGATTTTACCTCTCAAATCATCCTGCCTAGGATAAAAATCCCTATCCAAGCTCAAACAGTTCATAATTATACTGCTGTATGAAAATTAATAAAAGAATACTGCTACAAAAATCAAGACTAGACATCTTCACTGTAGTAAGTTGTCCCAGGTTACACCAATATTTAAAACCATATCTGTGAAACACGAAGAAGCAGTTTTTGGACAACAGATTGTTCACAATAAATACTTGCTTACTTGAGCCTGGTTAGCACTGACAATTCATACATCTACCTCGAATCCTGCCTAACTGCAACCAACTTAATACACACAGCTTTTCTAAGTACAGAAAAATCAGTAAGCACGAAGTTCTTTACCATCAAGTCAGAATAATTCTAGCAAAAGCCACTTCCATTGTGCCCTGCAGCAGCCCGGAGATGACAGAAGCTGGGGATGTTTACAGGTCCCATATGAATAATTCAGCGTCAGCATCAGCAGCAACTCCCCGGCACTGACAGCGGCCGCGATGCTCGCCCGACACGGAGCTGTGGCCGCAGCACATCCTCAGCAACTACCGCGCTCCTGGCCGAGCCTCCAAGGGGACGATTTTGAAGAACTGACCCTCCTTTTAATTTTTTTTTTTTTTTAACTTGCACTTCTCCTGCCCACAGCGCAAGGATGAGCACCCAGCACGGAGAAGATGCTCCGGGATTTCTGCAAAAACTTCCCAGCGAGGGCCACCCCTCGGTGCCCCGCCATCTCCTCAGCGTCAATGGGGGGAGAGCCCCGCGGGCACCGGGCACCCTCCGCCCCTGATCCGCCAGCCCCCCGCACCCCCTGCGGCTGCCCCACGGGCACCCCCGGCTCCAGCGCCCTCCCCCCGGAGACCACAGGGCTCCGTCTCCGTGAGGAGGGAGGAGGACGGGATGGCCGGGCCCCCGCCTCTTCCCCCTCCTCCCCCTCCTCCTCCTCACAGCGGAGGCGCTCAGCCCGCTGCCCCCGCGCCGCCCCGCCGGGCTCCCCGCGCTTACCGAGGCGCGGCCCGGGCGGCGGTGCCGGCGGGTCCCGGCGGGGCTGGGCGGGCGCGGCGTCTCACCTCACCCTCAGCGCCGCCGCCGCCGCCATCTTGCCTCCCCTCCCCCGGCCCCGCGCGCTCCGCCCCCTCCCGCCAGGTCCTGCCAGATACCGAACAAGCCGCGGCGCCGCTGATCGGTACCTTTCATCGGCTACCGTGGCTCTCACCTTCCTCAGGTTGTGCCAATGTGTATTGAGGCACAGGCAGCAACAGGCCGAGAAAAATCACCGGAGAGCTGGCGGTGGGAGGGTGCGGTGCTATGCCCCTTCCAGGACCGCTGGCCGGTGCGGCGGGGAGGGGCTCCTTCCCCTCCCGCTGAGGGCCGGGGGGGGGCGCGGCCGCCATGAGGCGAACGGGGCCGGGCCCGTGAGGGGCTCCCGGGGCTGCGAGCGCCAGGGAGCCGCAGCGCCTCGCTGGCCCCCGCCGGACCGGTGTAAAGTGGTAATAACCCATAAGGAGCCCGGGCAGCGGCCGTGCCCATGAACGCGGCCTCAGGAGCCCCTCACGGGAGCATCGCCCGGAGCCCGTCCGGTCCCTCAGGGCTCTTCCCGCCCCGTCCGCGGTGCTTCCCACGCTGCCCCTGAGGTCGGGCCCGTGCCCCGGCGACGAATGACTTCCGAAAAATGTGAGAGAGGTTCAAATCTCGTTAAATGTGTGTTCATTCCTGCCCCGGAATGAGGAGTGTGTAGCTCGTTCCCTGCCTTCACAGGAGTTTCAAATCTGCACGGCGTCGTACGTGGAAATGTGTAACTCGGGATGTGCTAAAATCACAAATTAATCTCGAATCAGGGAAAGATAGAGCATTAGGCAAGGGTAGATTATTTCACGGTCACAATTTCCATTAAATGGAGAAGTCGTGCCCACATGTGCAGGATGGGTGCTCACACAATTACTGGTTCAGACTAAAAAAGCTGGGGCTCACCCTGTGGCAAGCAGGATCACTCAGAAAACACGTGTTGTACCATGGTTGTGTTATTACAGTGGTTAAAAAGTGCCACGCTATGGTGACACGGCACATCCAGGCTGATGTTGGCAGTCTCTAATCCCAACACAAACCAATGACTCTCGCTTAGAATCACTTGGAAGTTAAAGGATAAGATCTAAGAGCCAGGAAAGACCAGTGAGGCACACACCTGCTGAGGTCTGAGCTGCTCCTCAGAGCTCTTTGAAATTGTATTAACCTTTTATGCTTTAACCCACCCAGCTCCCACACTCCACCATTGCCTGTACACTTGTCTTCCATGTTGCCTGTTTGGAAAAGCAAAGTATTCCAGCCATCGTGCATCAGCCTGCCTGTTTCATGTTTATTTTAACACTTCCTCTCTCCTTCTGCTCTGCAGCTTTCTCCAGGGCTTGACTTCACTTCTAAACCATAACCAAAAGCTTCCCCCGTTTGCAGCCACACTCGGGATAGCCCACAGAACGTGCCTGAAGAGAAGCTCCTCCTGCCCTGCTTTTGAGCTTCCCTTTAACCCACGTCTCTTCCCCAGCATCCCAGCAGGGATGAAAGGTACGACAGGCTGAAAACGCGACTTTCTCACTGTTAATCACTCCTGATGTACCGGCAGGGCAATGCGGCGTTCGCCCGGGGGCACAGCCCGAGCTCAGCGCACACCCTCGGGCCCGGCCAGGGCAGGTCCCGCTCCTCACGGGCGGCCCTGGGGCAGCAGGAGCGGGACAAATCTCCCCAGAACGGCACGGCCCGGGCCCCGTTTCCGCGGCAGCGGCCGGGCGGCCCCGCCCCGAGGCGGGGACCGGGGAGGGGGGAGGGGGTGGGACCCTTTCGTGCGGCGGAACCTTCGCGCCGCGGCTGGCGTTTCCGGGCGGTGCGGCGGCGGGGGGGCTGTCGCCATGGCAGCGGGCCCGTGGTGCTGGGGCCCGCCGCCGCTGCTGCCGCTGCCGCCGGTGCTGCTGCCGGTGCTCCCGGTGCTGCTGCTGCTGCCGGTGCTGCTCGGGGGCGCGCGCCGCCTGCGCCGGGGCCGCGCGGGGTGCCGCGGGTGCGCGCGGGGCGGGCGCGCCCTGGTGCTGACGGCGCACCCCGATGACGAGGCCATGTTCTTCGCCCCCGCCCTGCTCGGCCTGCGCAGCGCCGGGGCCGCCCCCGCCGTGCTCTGCTGCTCCGCAGGTGAGCGGGGACCACCCACGCACCCACACACACCCCACACACACCCCCGGGGCACGGGAAGGCCGCCGCGATGGCTCCCCACGTGTGTGGCCCTCGCGCCGTGACGCGAGGACCTTCTACCCCTGGCTGTGGGGAAACTGAGGCACGGTGCGGCCACTTCCGCCTCCCCTCTCCTTTACAAGAGCGTGTCGTGACAGAACAGAGGGGAACGTGTTCAAACTGAAAGTTGCGACTGAGGCACTTTCAGCATGGCGATGTCAGTGGCCTGTCAAAGGTGCACGGCCTTTTGGCATCTCCCTATAATTCGGTTGTCTTGCAGAAGACTTGTTTGGATGGTCCAGTTTAAATGTCGCGATACATTCACTGCAACACACCTAAAATAGCCCTTGCGTTGCAATCCGATCATGGAACAATAGCCCGGAAGGGAATGCGGGGCCGCGCTGTCCATCAGTGCTGGCCTGGAGGCAGCATCGATGTGTCTTCATTTGCTGCAGACAAATGTTTGTTCTCCAGGATGTCCGGGGAGGTGCCTCAGCCTGTGGGGTCTGTGTCGGTGCTGCTTTAGCTTGCCCTCAAATCACTTTTTCCTGAGTCATTGGTGTAATTTAAGCTTGTTTGTTTATTTTTTCATGCCTGACAGGAACATGGAAATCAGAGTATGCCTTTGTAACAGCCTCTTACATATTTTAGGACTGTTATCTGCCTCTTCTGCTTTATGTTCTCCAGACTAAACAGTCTGATTACTTGCAGTCTTCCCTCATAGATCATGTTTTCTAAACCTCTAATCATTCTCATCACTCTCTCTTGGACTCTTCCTTTGGTTCATGTAATTTTTGGAAGGGCAGTGATGACGAACTAGAAGCAGCACTGCTGCAGGGGCTGAATAGAGTGGAGAGATTCTTAAAGGCTCCACTGTTTGCCTGGAACAAGAACTTTTCACAGCACATGACACTTTTGTGTTTTTCTTGTGATCTGCTGAAGATTGTTCTGTAGAACTGACACCTGAGCAGTTATTCCATTGTTCAGGTTTCTGTGCATAAGAAACAACCTCGTTTGAATTGATCTCTCAGACCATATTGCAGTACCAGAATTCTTACACTGAGAGCTGCTTAGCTTTGGGAAAGAGCCCCCTGTGCCTTTGGCACATTTCTGTCATTTCCAAAGCTTTCTGTCCTGCCAGACCATCCAGGTGAGAAGACAGGGATTGAACTATTGAAGTCCAGTGGTTTGGTGGCTTCGCTGGTGGCTCTGCACCTCCCATTCAATATTTAGTGCAGAGCTTTCTTTGTCTCTGCTGAGGGACAGAGTCTGTGCATCCAATTTGACTTCTCCACAGCTGTGGGGAGATTACTGAAATGCAACTCTGCCATTTCCGTTTTGGAGACTAATACACTGCTGCTGGTAGAGAACTTTCCAAAAAAGTGTTGTGTTTCTGTTTATTTTGTTGAATTTTCTTTTCTCTTTACTCCTGATTCAGTGGCATGACACATTCAGTGTGTTTGATGTTTCCTTCTAGGTACTTTCTTACTTGTAAGGAAATGTAGAGGAGAGCACCTTTATGAGCTAAGAGATTTTTATTTTAAAAGCCTCTGATTAGTCTTGTGGGTGATTCAGATGGCTCATCCTCTCATTGTCTGAGTGATTGATGATGACAAGTGAGTTGATCAAAGACACTGCAAATTGTTAACACTGAGACAAAATCATTACTTAAAAACCATTGTACTTGCAGTTTTCAGTTATCAATCAATTTGACTTAGAAATGAGTTAGAATTACAGTACTGGGAAAAAGAAATCAGTCTTTGACACGCTGAATAATCTTAGATTGAATTAATAACTCAGTCTGAATGTGCTTTGCTCTCTGTAGTAGCTGGCTCTGTAGTGAGTGCTCCATGGATGAGGTCCAGCAGCTGCAGCTACTCAGCTGGTTTTGCTCTCAACAGCTGCCCATTCCTTCTGGTGAGCACTGACATACTCCTGATGTCCTGACACATTTCTGCAGCTCTGGAGCTGTTTCTTTGAGTTCAGCAGAAGTCAGGTGTTTTGAGAGCAGTGGGAATGTTTGGATAAAGCATCACCTGCAGTCTGCTGTGACACTGCACTGCAGCAAAAGCTGTTACCTTCCAGCACTGTGTTGGTAATGGCCTGGTAAAAATCAGTCTGAAGTGAACCCTCTTGTACTCATTCAGTCATTCCAGACAAGCTGCACTCTTCAGTTCATTCTGCTGGAGCTGGAACTTGCAACCAGGGTTCATCCCACAGTCAGTCACTGTCAGTCTCCCAAAATCATTCAGTCACAGGCTGTGGGAAGAGGCTTTTTTTTCTAGTTACTCTTTCCCTCTTTGAAAATCTTATAAAGCTTGCTAGTGATGGTTCAGATTGCAACAGTGCTCCAGAGAAATGCTACATTTAGATGACTCACACCCACAACAATAAAAATTTCTAGTGTAATTCAAGACAGCTGACTACAGACTTGAATCACACATTAATACTCAACTGTATTTTTTTTTTTTTTTTCATTTTATTTCTTTAAAGTTAAAATTGAGTTGCAAGTATTGCCCTGCATAGAGCAATGTTCTGGAAGGGGCATCACAGCTCTGTCAGGGACTTTGCATGGCTGATGCCAAGAAAAAATAAGGGAATGTCAGGGCAAGATGAGAGGAAAATAATTCAGTGAAGAAGTAGCCAATGTTTTAAGATAATGAATTCCATTTCCGTGTTGTTCATCTCTGTCTTTATCTTGATTAGGTTTTCTCTCTTCTTTTGCCTCTCTAAGTTTTTGCAATCTTGCCATATCAGTCCTACGTTAATTTCTCTGTGAATGGAACAAGGAAGAAGATGCTGAACTGTTTGGACCCCTAAACTGAGTTAGGTGGTGTTTGCTGTTTTCAGGAAATTATTACAATCAAGGAGAGATTCGTAAGAAAGAGCTGGAACAGAGTTGTTGTGTCCTGGGGATTCCTGCTTCTGATGTCACAGTCATTGATCACAGGTAACTGGTTTTCATTTCCAGTAGAATTCCACTGCAGTTTTAAAGGGGGTTGAAGTTCACTTTAACATTCAGGAGAGCTGACTGTGTCATTCTAAAAAGCCTTGAGGAATCTCAAGAAAGGCAATATTAGATATTTTTGTTAATTCTTCTCATAAATCTAATTAATGCAGAAGGCAATTCTTTTGCATTATGGGGATCACAGTTCCTAGGTGAAGCTCTGTTCATGCAGCATTTAGAATGATGATAACCACACTTGCTGGGATCTGGCACCGTGTGTCTGGGCAGCATGATCACGTTTTGTTGTGTAACAACTTATTGCAGTGTTAGACAGAAATCCTCTGAATTGCCTGGGGCAGGTTTGTAGGTGGTCTTTGCAGGGTTAGTGTGGAATTCCATTATATTTACAATCTGCTTTAGTCCTGGCTAAAGACAAAAGTGAACTGCAGTACTAAAGACAGTCCACAATAACATGACAGTAAGATTCTTCAAAATTAAGCCATGCAAGTTTTGTTTTTCTAAGGTGTGGTGTTGTTTCAGCTGTGTGTAGCTGTAGAGGGTGGCAAAGCTGACACTTCTCTGTGCAGGAGCTCTCTTCTGGGAGGATGATTTAACACTTTGAATCAGTAAAACTTGGAACTAATGTTGTAAAAGCCTCTCAAAATGCCCAATCACAGCCTGTGTATAAAATCTGAATGAGACACTGATTGCTAGGAAACACGATACAAGTGGTTGTTTCACTTGTAAACAGCTATCACACAGCCCATAAAGAATATTTCTGTTTATGAAGAAATAATAGCAACATATTGATTTAAAGCCACTCCAGCTAGAACAGTCAGAGTTGAAAAAAACTCTGCCTCCAGGCAGGCCCTTTTCCCATGACCATATTTTCCCTTGAGCTAAGGCAGAAGAAACCACAGTCCAGAATATGAATCTTTTTGAGTTCTTTGCTTTTTTTAGCTCTAGGTTTCTCTCCAAGTTTTCAGCTTGTTGAGGAAAACAGCATAAAAGTTGTTTTTCCTTTGGAATGAAAAGAGATGTTTCCGTTCACTTCTCATGAGCTGGCTTTGGGTAACTGCAAGTTCTGTAGTACAAGCATATGACAATGCCCAAAACATTCTGGGGAGGAATAAGGAAAAAGCTGCTCAGCTTTGCTAAGCATAAAGTCTGCTTAATGAACCGTCTTTGACATTAAAGCCCTGAAGCCACTTGGCCTTTTATCCTCTAAAGCAATGTGAGGTTGGCTGGTGAGTGATACAAGTTCTGATGCTGCTCAGTCACCCCATACACACAGCCCAGGGGAGCTGCTTGTTGCAAGTCAGTCTTTGGAAGGTGAAGGCTATTTCAGAGAAATGTCTTGGCTGGTGCCTCTTTCTTACTTTATTTTTGTTGCACACATTTCTGAACTGATTTGTGATCTCCCCCTCTAAAGGCAGTGCCTGAAATGACAGAGCCATCCCATTTCCCAGAGCTGGGCTGGAATGTACATCATTGCTCCAAGAAACAGGTTTTGATTTGAGGTCTTTATCTCTGAGTTAGATTGCTGTGAGATAACCATCAAACCCTTTAACTTTGTTGTGCATTCAGGGAGTAAATGAAGTTAAGTTCTTGGTGAATTTTGCTCTGAGCTTGTTTACACAGCAAAGTTAAGTGTGTTTACAGTGCATTATTTACTGTGCCATAACTCACCATGTGGATGCTCTTCATGAAACACATCTGTGGATCAGGTGTTAGCAGGCTGGTAGAGGATCAGGCTTAATTTCTAGACCACACTGAATTTTTAGTGTAGTTGATTTTTAGATACTGTTTTCCAGTGGTTTAGACAAAACCATAGGACTCAGGGTTTTTGAAACTTACTCAAAGTTCTTGGATTCTCTAATGTCAATAGTTTGCCTGTCTCTATTAAGACTTATGTAATTTGCAGGTTATACAAAATTATTTGCTGGTATGGCATTATGTGGAACTTGCTAAGGTAATTCATTATTTACCACTAGATTTCAATGTAAATTCGTGCCTACAGAATCCAGCTCAGGAGGCTGTTCCTCCTTAGCATTTTAAGATCAGAGCCCTTTGGCTCTTTTGTTCCTCGCTGAACTCTTCAGAAGATAGTTGCCATCAATGTAAAGAAGGAGCACAGTGCTCTGGGAGAGCTGCTGGCCTGCTGCCCATCTCCCATTGCTTACACAAACACTGTATGCTTTACATTAGCCAAGTTGCAGCTTTGTGTTTTGGTAAGGAAAGCCCAAAGGATTGCAAGGTCTGGACCTGCTCCAGCCATTGTAGTGTGGAGCTGAGTCATGCTGCTTCCTCTTTGTGTGATCTACAAGTGAGTGAGTAGAATTTGCAAGATGTAAAAGGGGAAATAGATTTTCAAAGCCAGGTGATTGACTTGCTCTGTCATCTCTGGGCAGGCAGGTGTAACATCCACATGACATTTGGGACTGTGTGTGAACTTGTGAAGAGAAAGTTTCAATCAGCCTATTATGAAAGCTGTGCTAAACACCAAATCCTTCTTAAGCAGTGTCTTGCCTTAAACAGTGCCTCTCTCAAGGATTCCCAGAATTCCCAACAGGACCAGTTCAGTCTCTATCACACAACTGCTGTGCCTGGATCCTTCAGGAGCTGTGTTTGATGTTGCCATTGGGTTTGTTACCTCACTTAAAGACAACTCAAATCTGCACAAATATGGCCCCAAATTGTACCCACATTTCAGCTCTAGAGATCTGAGATCGCCGCACATTTCCTGCAGAAAAGTTCTTTGGTCTATGGGACATGTCCAGGAGTGAGAAGGGCAGGAATGTCTGGCCATGCACACTTGTTCCAGACTAATTTAGATTTGAGCTCTGGACTCTTCCAACTTGTAACTAGTACAGGTCAGGCACCAGGTTTGCAGAGGTGTTCTCTGAGCTGCCATGTCACTGTCACAGCTCCCACTCTACACCAACCAGCTGCACTTAGGGGAGAAAAGTTTCACAATCCACTTTTGTTACCATTCCCACACAAGGCTTAACACTTGGAGCAGCCCAGCTCAGAACCTGGGCTTGTGTTGTTCAAAGTTAATTTCTGGATTGTCACAATTATTCCTGCTGCTGAGTAAGGGAGGAGTAGCAAGAGAGTGAGTTCTGAAACTCATGTAAGATAAAAGTCACTTCATTAATTATATAAATGTTAATGTAAACTCGGTGCTTTTGGTTATTTTTATCATCTTATGTGCTTCAACAGCAGATTTTCCTGTGAGTTAAGCTTCCATTTACAGTGGGCACATCTGCCAATGCTCTGGCTGTCTATTAGTCTGAAACATTGCACGTAAAGAGGAGATGATTTCTGATCTGCCTTCTCTTTCTAAAGAGAAGCAGATAAAAGGAAGCCCAAATTATGTTTTGGGTTCATGGAAGATAAATATGAGATGTTTTACTGTGGATTCTGAAGCTTTTGTGCACAGTTGTTCTGGACAGAAAGTAAAACTGACTATTAGCATCTTTAATATGACAGAAAATATTTGGCCCAAGTTTGCACTGCAAAGAAAATAATAGCTGAGATCTGTGTAAACTGGAAAATTTTCCATTCACAGTCGGACGCTTTCGGCAAACAATGTTACATCTCTTTCCAAGTTTCCATGGAAATTGCACTCCCTTTGCTTTTTTATTATTATTACTTCACTGAAGTCCAAAAGGGCTCTGATCAGACACTGCACAGGAGAGAGGACATCTGTCCATGCCCTATCACAGGCTGTTTTTATGAGGCTGCAAAGAGGCTCAACATCTTTTTTTTTTTACATTTTTTATGTAATAATTCTGTGGTGTTGGACTAATTTTTTCCACCTATAAGATAAATAGGCTTTATTGCACTTCCTCATATTTAACTTCTAACAAACTTCCTTCCATGACCTCTCCATGACAGAGAAATGAGTCTGTAAGGTCATGAGAAAAATATATCCTTAAGTAAATAGTGTGTATGTCTGGTTGTGGTGATCACAAAGATACAAAAACATTCAGGCCCTTCAGACAACAAAATACATCACTGGAAATCTGAGGCTTTTTATTAGAGTTTAGGAGCACAATCATTAAGTCCATCCCATTGATCCAGTTTGGATTTGCTGTCCTTGGGTTTATTGATGGAGGGTGCTGAGTGCACAGAGCTGTGGGATTCTAAAAAATGTGTTCATCTTACTTATTATGTGTTTCCATCACAAAGGTGATATTATTGCCTAATATTTCTTCTTTCCTGTTCTAACGTTTCATATTTTGGGATCAGTAGTTAATAGTTTTAATTCTGCTGGAGTAATTGTGGTAATGAGTTACATTTTGTCTTCCTAAGTTCCCCGTGGTATCATGCTTTGACATTTTATTTTATTGCTAATTCTAAAAAGCTGATCTGTATGCTGATTAAAATTACTGCCATGCTTTATTCTGGAAGAGCTGCATATTTCAGGAGTGAATGATGCGATTTTCTTAATCTTCCTTACGCCAGCAATGCTATAAAGGCCTTTTTTTTTTTCCAGAATTTTCTGTAATTAAGAACTACATCTGTGGGACCAGAAATCTGACATGTAAATTGATCACATGCTCAGTGTGTATTGCAGGGAAATCAACTTATGTCCCTTGAATCAGCCAAGCACACTCAAAATCATCCTGAACACTAACAAGCTTCATCATGACAAGAAGGCACTTTGTCAGTCAGGTGGGGATCTTGATATTTATCAATCTGTAGCCAAATTTCATTTCTGTTTAGTGTAATTCTGGAAATGTAAATTCTTTTCTTTCTGAGAAGACAATAAAAAATTTGGCCACCTATTTATATTTACATTTCTAAATAGATAATTTTTTCAAAATGCTTTCCCACATGGCAGTTCCTGCTGGCATTTTAGGACCTCAGAACACTTGATAAAAAGGATTATATAAAAGTCTGCCTTCAGGCATCTGCTTTTATAAGTGTTGCTCTGTGCAGTAATTTAAAAGGAAATTCTTCTGGGGGTTGAGCTGTCTCACAGCCCTCCAGGAAAG